CACTATCATGATCCACCAAGTAGAAGGCAACACTACACAGGCAAAAGCAATGTAGTATGCTTCCACTAGAACAAAGTAAGCAATATTTTCAGGTATTTATAGATATTTATAGATATTGTCCACAAAACAAAAACCCACTATTTTATTCTAACTTGGACAGTTGAGAGCTAGAGGTCTGAAATGACAGCAGAGTTCAAGCTAACAGAGAAAGATCGGGAAATATTTTTAACTTTCTTTCTTAGTAATAATACATGCATGAGAGAATAAATCAGGCATGTCATAATAATTCTTCTTACCAGGGAGTCATAAGTCTCTGGTTTTTCTTCTATTTTACCAGCTTTTTTCATTCTGTTCAGTCGCTTCTTTTCTACAGCACCAGTTCGATCAAGGAAGGTGTCATCATCACTGTCATAAAAATCCTCATCTTCCCAGTTCTTTGATTTCCTTTTTCGGGATACTGGGAAAGGTAAGGGAAAAAGCAATAAACAAAACGATTTGCATACCACTGAGCAATAAACCAAATTCAAGATAGCACTCTCTAATCCCCAATTTAAGACTGTTGGAATGATCACAGCATATGACTAGTTATTCACCTGCTTCTTGCCTCAGTACTCCTCGAGCATCGAGTAGCCTGCAAGCTTCCAGCGCGCACTGTATCATTGCTTCCTTCTTCTTTCCTGAATGGAGAACCTCTGCCACCAGCTGCTTCCCTGACGCATCATCCACAGGCAACCTGTTTGGTTTGAGGTATCAGAGAACAGCTCAGATACAAAGAGCTTTTCACAGATGCTGCTCAGATATTTTATTTATCACATTGTCATTGTTCCTTCCATTTCACTCTAATCTTTTTTTCAGTTAAATATTTTCACTTTTCATTCCATACAGTACCAAACAGAACACAAGCATGGATTTCTTAAAGCAAGCAAGTCAATTTTTATTTCACTAGTCCAAACAATAATTCTTCCTATATTCATTCAATTGGGCATACAAGATGTTAAAAGGTTAAACGTTAATTCCTGAATCATTTTAAGCACCAGTATCTTTGCATACATGCAACACCAGTAACAAGCAGTTTCTACGCTGAAGCAAAGGTTTCTTAAGCAGTACAACCATTGCAATGTTGTACTTATCCATTTGAGACCCATCCTGTTGACTTAATTTGCACCTCACCTTCTCCTGTCTTATAAAAGAATGATGTTAGTGCTCTCTTGCAGGAAACCATCAAAAACTGGCTTATACCATAAAGAACTGAAATGGGGTAACATGGTAGAATTAATGGGGTTTCTCTCCTCCATTAGGAAGTGAAAGATACTGTTTCCTAGTTTCTTCTCCTGTATTTCAGTTTTGTGTATTTCTCAAAGCAAGAGGAACTGAAAGAACCTAGACTTTTGCTTTCCTGATTTTCATCTCTAAGGAAAACCAAATGCTGCCAGACCAGAAGGGAGCACAGACACTGAACTAGGCACTGATCCTTGAACTTCTGTCTACGTATCAGAGCTAGGTCTAATTCCACTTGGCCTCCCTGCCAAGTGTGACAAGACGAGTAATTTCTTCAGCTTTTGCTCATGAATTCAATGAAGTAAGCTTTTATGTACAAAAGTGAATGGAGATATACATACTTGATCCTGCATAGCCAGCTATTGTGCCCACGATCATCATATTCATATTCTAGCTCTTCTCCTAGAGAGGAACAGAAAGTTGATGTAGTAACCAAAATTGAAATAAGCAGGAATAATCAATTGTTGCAGCAGAGAAGAATGTCATGGTTAAACAAAAGAGATGAAACGCCCTTGTTACGTATCAAAGGACTGAATTGGCCCCCCTCCCTTTTTTTTTTTTTTTAAGTCATGGGATCTTCAGTTGGTATTATGCCCATTTGGTTGTTTTTCATAATCAAGATTTTTTTGATCTGAAAAAGTCTAAGTGGCCTGTTCAGGAATGTGTAGTTCAAAGAAAAAAAATGCCTCTGTACATATTAAAGTAATGTCATTGAAATAGTGACAGTTTGCAATCTAGATTCACAGACATTGTTTATCTTGAAGATTAATTTTTCACGTTAGCAAATAAATGAGTCATCTATAAGTTTTGCTAGCAACCACTCAAAGTCTAGACCAATTCATTATTGCCTTTTGTCTCTTTATACCTTCCAATTCTATCTCACAATTAGAGCCATCTCCAAACAGAACAGTCTGGAATTTGATGGGTTTGGACTTTTCAGCATAGCTCCAAAGCATAGCTGTGGTTTGAGTGTCACTCCAGAGGAATATAAGGTACTCTCTGTAACTCCCAGTTTAGGAATTAGTAACTAAGCCTCAGATATATAATGGTGAGCTAAGTTTTAATAAAATAAAATAAATAAAAAAAACCCCAAACCCAGACCACCCCCAACTCCCCCACCCCCAAAATTTGACCAAACAAAAAACCTTAACCACAATGTAATAGAAAAGCTAGCTCCCAGACCTTAATTCCCAAAGAAAAACATAAGCACAAATGTCACACTTTGTTAAATAGAAAAAATTACATTTAATTAAGAGAAAGAAAAAAAGTACCTTCTCTGTCAAAAAAGCCCTGTAAAGCCTTCCTAGGATCCTTCATATAGAAGGCATCTTGTACGTCCTGAAAATCAATAGCAATAGGGTTTTCTTCAACCTCATCCTCCTCAGCATCCTCCCCTAGAAGAAGAAGTGCAAAAAAAATGGTGAAATGTTAGAAAGAGAATGCCAGTATATTTCAACTTTTGTCAGTTTGAAAGTAGCAGCTACATCATCCTAAAATTACTTCCCTTTACTTGAATATTATTTCTGCATCCAATAAAAAAAAAACAAAAACAAAAACAAGCCCTGCTTCTTTTTTTGCTATCAGTTATTCCATCATAAGATACAGTTTTGCAAATGAACGCATCTGCAGTTTCAGCACTGTCAAGGGGTTTTGTGCTTATACGTTTCCTTTCAAAAAAACAACTAATTTTTTACTGAAAAGCTCATTAATTACAGTTTATCTAGGTTTAAGATGTGGACTTCCTGTTTAAAGACAACTATACTGCACAGAAGTCTCAAGCAATTAAATTTCCCCTTTTGGACAGAAGTGTGGATATCATCACAGGAAAAAACACTATATAGCACTAACCTAATCTTTCAGTTTCATGGCCTTTCGTAGGCATAGGCAAATTACCTTCTCCCTTTTAAAAGGAGCTCTAGCATACTTCTCATCAGATGTAAGCTTGCCTTGTCACAGCACTCTTTTTAAAAGGAAAAGGATTAATTTGTACTCAAGAACTTCCACTGGATTGTGACACCTGGCATTTATCTGGAATTCCAACCCTAGTATTCACTGAAAACTGGCTTAAAGACCTTCCAAGGTGTATCAGCTGATTTATGCATCATCACTTACCCATTCCCCACGAGCAGCTCATATCACTGTTCTGACTCTTCTCACTTCTCTCCTCTTTTTCATCTTCCTCATCAGAGTCCTCTCCCAACATTGTCTTTTCTAATTTTGCTTGCTGCTGCTTACGCAGTGCCTTCAGCTGAGTCACAGTTAGTTCCGATTCAGACTCCTGGTCCTCTTTGGGTCCCTGCATCACAAACAGTAATGTAGCAAAAGTGGGTTTTAAAAGATGATAAAAAAAAAGAAATAGCTTCAACACTCATGCAGATTATGTACAACAACATAAATAAATCATTATTGTGCTCTTCAAAAAGTCGTATTATTAGACCATTTGTTATGGTTTGCATCCCCAAACATGTTAGTTTAAATGCCCTTTTCAAAGGGGGAAAAAAAGAAACAAGCGTTACTGTGTACTTGTTGTCAGATATAACTCAAATATACCTGTATCTTAAAGGCAGAAGGCAAAAATTTCCATCAGTGCTACATGGGAGAATTTGAGAATCGAACAGGTTCTGAAGTATGTGTAGGACATGCCGAGTGCTCTCTAAGTTACTACTAACAAAACCTCCCTTGTTCGGGAAGAAATATTAGCACTTTATTTTCTCGATGCAACATACTGTTGGAGAGACCTTCCCGATACATCACTCTGCCGGAGAGAAACACCTTCTGCACATCGGCAGAAGCTGCCATGCCTGTCCTTGTGCTGAGCCCTCAGCAGAGCTGCCCTGTGCCCAGCGCCCCGGGGTGATGTGGCAGCTTTGGGGGACCCAACAGTCCTGCTCCGTCCTTCAGTCCCAAACCTCACCACAGAGCTGGCAGCAGGTGCCTACAGCTGACTACTTTTCCCCAGTAAAACCACCAAGGCAGCGCTGGGCTGCTCCCAAGGCATCCGCACCGCCTCCTGCCTCACAAGCGGCTTTCACCCCCGAGGCGCCAGGGAGATGTAGATGGAGCCGGGCGAATTCCCGAGCTCGGTCCGGGGAAGCCTCTACCACCCGAGACACCCGTCCCACGCTCCGGGGCGCGCGGCGGGGCCGCCCGGGGCCCCGACCCACCTGCAGGAGGAAGAGGCGGGAGCTGCCGCCGAAACGGAGCCCGTGGCCCACCCGCACCCGGCAGTAGGTGCGGGGCGGCACCCGCGTCTTGTTGAGGAAGGTGCCGTGGGTGCTGCCCAGGTCGTACACGTAGAAGCCGGCGGCATCGGCGCCGTCGGGGCCGCGGTACTGCAGCACGGCGTGGTGCCGCGACACCGAGGGGTGCTCCAGGGCCAGGGCGCAGCCGGGCAGCCGCCCCACCAGGAACCAGCTGCCACCTTCCAGCCGCACTGAGCCCAGCGCCACGCCGCCCTTCAGCACCTCCAGCCCGTAGCCGGCGCCGGCCGGCGGGCGGCTGCCCCACGGCGGCTCCTCGTAGCGCGGCGCCGGCGGCGCGGCGGCGGGGCGGGCGGGCGGCAGGCTGGGCCCCGGCTCGCCGCCCTCAGCGGCGCGGGGCGCGGCGGGCAGCGGGCGGCTCGGGCGCTTGAAGGCGGCGGGCTCGGCGGCGGCCTCCCCCGCCTCCCCGGCCTCCGCCATCTTCCCGAGTCCGCTCCCAAACAGCGTCCTCCGGGGACGAGCACCGTCTGCGGCTTGCAGTACCGGGGGTAGGGCTCAGCCCCAGAGGGCCGCACCACCGCCTCAGCGCCGGTGCAGAGTAGAGTTCAGGGGTGAGACGGGGAGGGGAGGCAGCGGCGGCCAAGGCGGGAGCGGCGGTGGCGACCGCTTCTCTCCTGCCGGCGCGAAGGGAGCGCTGGTAGCGGGGGGAGCCGCTTCTGGTGGCGGACCGGGGCCGACTTCCGGCTGGGCGGCCGGGAGCAGAGCGGTGCGGGTGCGGCGGGGGGGGCTCCGCGCCGCGAGTGGGGGCTCCGCGCCTCGGGGAGGGGTGGGCTCCGCGCCGCCGTGGCGACCCGCGGCCGGGGTGAGGTGCCGGGGTGCGGGGCGGCCGCGGGGCCGGAGGGTGGGGGGCGGCGGGCGAGCCCAGCGCGGCCCCCAGAGTTTTCTCCGCGCAAATCCAGGCGCGCCGTGGGTGCCGCTCAGCGAGGTGCCGGCGTGGCCCAGGTGGAGCCACGCCAGCCCCTGCTGCAAGCAGAAATAATTACTGTCTCACGGGTGCGTTTCTTTCTTATTTCTCACCCACCCCCCCCCCCCAGGAGAAGCGGCGATGCGGTCTGTTAAACGCCAGCGTTGCGCCCTGATGCCGTCGTGGAAACTGCGCTGTTCGGTGGGGCACTGAGCGGCAGCTTTCTTGACAATCATCCTTCACTTTATATTCAGGCCGTCTTCCCAGCTCCAGCTTCAGTTGCTGCCCCAAAACTAGCGCTTCTCCCCGTGACAAGACTCCTCGGTTTCACAGCAGTTGGCAGCTTTCTTCTGGGCTCCGAGGACAACACGGGGCCACTGTGAAAATGCTGCGATACTGGGGTGAGATTCCGGTTTCATCTAACCAGGCCAACCGCAGCTCCTTTGACCTGCTTCAGCGTGAGTTTCGCACTGTGGAAGTCCAGGATCCTCCGTTGCACCAGCCATCTGCGAACAAACCCCGGCCGACCACCATGCTGGACATCCCCTCGGAGCCCTGCAGCCTCACGATTCACACCATTCAGCTCATCCAGCACAACAGGCGGCTGCGCAGCCTGATTGCCATGGCTCAGGCTCAAAACCAGCAGCAAGCGGAGGGCATAAAGACTGAAGACAACGAACCTCTGCCATCTTGTCCGGCCTCCCCACCTCTCCCTGATGACCTGCTTCCTCTGGATAGCAAAACCCCCAAAATGCCATTTCAGCTGAGGCACAGTGACCCAGAGAGTGATTTCTACAGGTGTGTTGGTATTTATTTGGGTTAGTTCTGGGCTGAAGGAAAGCTGAGTGGTTTTAAATGTATATGTAGTTATGTCGATTCCCTTAGGCCGAAGAGTCAAACAGTTGCACATAAAGTATAAAACAGGCTTTCAAAAGTAAAGATTTAGATTTCTCCTGTGTGGATAACACACACACTGTTTAAAATAAATTTGCTTTTGTTTCCTGTCTATAAAATGTGGCTGTGTAGTGCTGATTTCTCTGCTGTTAGTGCTATGCTAAATGTTTTTGAATGGTTTTGCTATCTTCAGTGGAATTTTGACAAGTTTATTTGTTGGATGTGAAGACTTTTCTACTTAGGGCAGTTACTCACAGCTAAACTTGCTTTACTGTAACTGAAAATCCAGAAGATGCTTGACTAGGTTTTGACTGTTTAGTTGTAGGTTCTGAAAGAAGATTTGATAATATATTTGTAAGATTTTAGTGGCCAAAGTCCTGTGACATAATAACTATCACATTTCACCCTGTTTGTTGGTGTTATTCTGGTCAGAGGGGGCAGTGAGTATGGGTGAAGGGAATTCTTGTCTCTGATGCTGGCTCCATCAGCCAAGGAGTGGGGAAGGTGTAAAGGAAGGTTGCATTGCTTGTGCCTCTGCAGCTAATCTTTCATTAAATAGTATTGCCACCACCTTCCTGTCTACCCCTCTGACAAGCACTAAATTCACAAGGAGGTGTTGCGTTTCTTGCAGGATCTCACAATGCTTTGTAGATTATGTACATTTAAATTTAGGGATTAATCTTCCCTACTGTAACCTGCTGTTCTTAGATTAAAGACTGCACCAATGAACATGATGTGAGAGATGATAATACATTTTAGTTTTTAAAATGGGGAAGATGTGCATCAACGACATATAATTTATCAGTTAAATTCCACTGAGATCTTTAATGGCCTGAGGTTGTATAAAATACATTTTATTGAAAGGTGTTGCTTTTGTTAGTCTCTCAGAACAGTAGAGTGATTCTGTAGTGCTGTTGGTGAAGGTCAGTACAGTTCTGTGAGAATTAAGTCTGAGCCCTGTGACTCCTGCTCTTTCTGGCCCTGTGGTTTGTAGAACTGAGCAGCGTTCTGCTCTGTCCTCCCTGGTGGCTTCAGCTGTTAAGTTCAGTTTTCTGTGGCTCTGTCCATATTTTGGGGGCTGCTTTGTGTTTTTGTTGGCCCCTGTGAGTTTCTGGGGTCCGAGTAAAGAAATGTTATTTAGCAGTCAACCACATGGGGGAGTTTAAGGACTAGATTATGAAAACTGGATATACAATTCTGAAATGTTTTGTGGCTGATAGAGGGTGGATTTATAATGAGCTGCAGCGTAGACTAGAATTTAATTGTGTGCTTGCTAAGCCAAACACATTTATGCGTTTCCAGGAAGAAAGCTTTGAGTTTGTTGTTGCATGTTTGTTCTTAACTGTTTTAAAACACTTGAATTAAAAATAGCAGGTGCTGATACAGTCATAAAAATAAAGTTATATGATTTGCCGATGCTTGTTCTTAGTGTGTAAAAGCAAATTAGAGAAAGACTGTTTTTCCTCTTGATAAAACATGGTAGTGAGTAATTTTATGCTGCCTTCTGAAGTGCCATTACCAGAGTTACAGTATTCAACTGCATGCGTCTTTTGATTCCATTTTCTTTGGCAGTAACCTGAGTCTGAGAAGCAGTGTATAGGTTATATGTAGACATAGGAAGAAAGGAAGGTAAGAGCAACCAGCCTGAATCAGACCACAAGTTTCTTTAACATAGACATGTCCTCTTTTGTTTCCTTGTTATTCATTTTCATCCTCTGACCCCACACTCTTGTCTTCCACTTTGTTATCCTCTGGATTAATTTTGTTTTTCCTCCACTCTGCCTGCCCTGCCTTGTACCTGTAAGCCCTACTTTCTTGTCCCTTTTGAGATGAGGAAGAGACAGAACCTAATCTATTGCTGTTTTTCAGTTGTTTCAGTCATTTTGATCCCACAAAATCTGTACCACCAGCAGTTTTAATCAGGAGGCTATTCTTCTCCTCCACTTTTCCAGGCTGTTTATAGATATGTTGAAACAAACCTTGATTCTGGCACAGATCCCTGAGGGAAGACCTGGACTCCACAGTGGAGATCTCTTACATACTTGCTTGTTGATGGATTTGGAGGACTCTAGTAGGTTTGTGAAGCAGGTTTTCTATTTACAAAAGCTGTCTGGACTCTTTCTGAGTGTAACATATTTACCAATGTCTCCTCTAATTCTGTTCTTACATTTTTTTAAATTTCCCCAATGCACTGGGTTATATCAGGCTTCCTGGCCTGCAATTCTTCACATGTTTTGTGAAACTATTAAAAGAAAATGTTTTCATGTTTTCTGGTCCTCATGGGCCAAGGCAGTTTAAAGCAAGAGTTGACTCACCACAGCTATTCAGCTATTTCATCCTTGTATTTCTGTAGTATTCCTGGATGAATTACCATCTGGTTCTAGTGATTTGCAACTGTTGATGTTACAGTTCTTGGAATACACAATAAGGGATTAACGTTTGGTTTTGGTTGGTATAGAGACAGAATGTAAGCTTAAAGCATAATCAATAAAGAATGAGTAAGGAACTATAGACTTGAAACTACCATTTGAACAGGAGGCTTTTACCATAATATGACTGCTAGCTTTTCCTTCTTTTGTGTGCAGCTTCCTCTGATTAGAGTGGATCACTCTTTAAAAGAAACCTAACCTACTCATTATGTGCCTGTTCAGATGCTTTTTCTTGTGTGTGCATGGTTGGTTTCTTAACAGATTTCTCTGCCATTCTCTGACGTGCGTTCCTGAACACATCGGATGTATGCTTTGCATTGAAAGACAGTCAGTGAATGAAACTGGGAGCTTGCAATGGGAAGACAGTTCACAACAGAAGGGCTTGTAGTTAAGAAATGTCTGTGTAGTAGGGAATCATGTGTCGGTGGGATAGCAGGTTTTGGAGCAGTGGAGTTTAGACCAGGCAGAATGTACTTCCCCTGATGGACTAAGCACTTCAGTTTAGCCCCTAAACTGTCGGGTCATCTGAGTTGGGCCACTGAGGCCCAATTTACTTTCCAAACATTGTCTGTTACCTTTTGCCATTATCTGTTGAGCAGCTTTTTTATATACCTGTGCTGCCTTGTGTGGACATAGCAGAGAAGTTTAAAAAGAGGCTTACTCAGGATGAAGTGGAAAGAGGCCCTTTTCCAAAAGGAAACAGCCTTCTGCTTTGAGTTAACGTGCTGTGTTCTTTGATGCACTCTTTGACCAGTATAATCTAATTTTTCCAATATTCTCCTTTATTTTATTGGTTTGGGGAAAATGTCTCTGAAGTGACCCTGTTGCACCTCATTTGGTAGAAATTCAACTCCACAATGTAATGTTTCATAAATTTGATGTGTTCATAGGAAAAACAATCCCTCCTCCCTCCATCTGCTGCTAGCTTATGCTCACCTAGGAGGGAGCAGAGCGCTTCAATCTGTTACTGCAGTTGAGTGAACCTCGGCTGTCAATCCTTGTACTGACTTAGCCCAAACACTTTCCCCTGGAGATAGTTGCATGGCAAATGAACCACAAGATCTCCTTCCCGGTAAGAAAAACAGCCTTACAGGAGAGGAGCTTGGGTGAATGGATTGTGATGCCTTTGGGGGATAGCTTGTTGTCATGTTAACTGACTGACACAGACAATGGGCCTTTTGTGAGTTTTGAAACCTTATTAATTCTGAAAATAAGTCTGGTTGGTACAAACAGACACTTTTTTGTGTGTGTTCTGTTGTGAAGTTCTGCATGTTACAGATTTGCTGGTAGCAGTGGGAGAAGGCTGGGCTTTGGGTATGATGAATTCATGGCTTGGTGTCCTGGTTGGGGCTGGCCTAGAGCTCCCGTTGGTCTGGCAGCTGGAGGAGCTGCAGCCCCCTGAGACCCCAGGGGCTCCCCAGGTCCCAGTGCCCTCACCTGTGTGCGGGGGTGGGGGGAGCACAGCTGGAGGGCTGGGCCCCGATTGGCCGATGGTCCATGTCACGTGACACTGTGCTCACTATATAAAGGCAGGAGTGGGCCAGGAGGGGCTCTCACTTCTGGGAGTGTGGCTGTGGGGCCTTTGTGTTCGAGATTGCTGGCCGGGAGCAGGAGGGTGTTGGTCGGCGGGAGGTGAGCAGCTGTATTGTACATTACCTACTGATATTGCTGTCAGTGTATTATTCTGTTACTATTATTAAACTGTTTTTATCTCAACCCACGAGTCTCCCTTTGCCCCTCCGATTCCCTCCCCATTCCCAAGTTGGGGGGAGGGTGGGTGAGCGGCTGTGTGGCATTTAGCTGCTGAGTAGGCTCAAACCACAACACTTGGCTGGTAAATTTCTGTCTGGAACATCATCTAGTGTTTGTGGCCCGTATGTGAAAATATAGAACTCAATTGGAAAGACAAGACTGAAGAGCGACAAGTTGGCTGGTATTTGTGATAAATTTCATACTATATATTCTGTAGAGATGATTACCTCCAAGTCACAGGCCTAATTGCCAGTCTCAATCTCTGGTGATGGAATTTTAGGGATTAAAGTGATCTTGTTTACTTGCAGCTATTTGACTCTGGTAATAGGTTAAGTAGGTTTGGCTTTAGATAGTTGCTGGATGGGAAGAGTTTCAGGAAAGCTGTAAGTGCTACAGAGGGTGGCATTCTCCATGATAGTACCTGTTGTAGATGCTGAGTATCTGGATGAGATCTAAGACCAAGGTTCTTTAGCTGTTATCATCAGGGAAAAGAAGTTTCCTAGTTCTTTTTGGGAAGCCTTGACATTAGATAGCTGCTCTTGACTTAAATGTGTCTATATGACTGTTTTTGTTTATGTGCGTTCTTACCAGAAAGTACCTGAAAGTTAAAGGAGATGAAGAAAAAAAGATATTTTCTCATTTATTGGTTTCTATTAACATCTACAATAACATTTCAATTTTTACTGTCTAATCAGGCTTTTATTCATCTTCCTTTGTTGTTTATTGTGGGAAGCAGGAAAACAAGAGAAGAAAGCCTAAGAAAAACAAACCAAAATTGATTTACCTTACCAAGAACAAGATGAAGGGATTTGGATTTGAGTACAGTACCTGAAATTTCTTTCTCTCTGTCTTTAACTGATTAGATTTCAAGTTGATTATATGCCTTTCAGCATAGTGACCTAGGTGCATTTTAATGCTGGCAATTAGTTTCTTTTCCTCTAGGAGTTTAAAAGAGATATAACATTCTCTGCTTCTGAGCAGTGATATGCATTGCTAAGTGGTTGCTGTGCTTTGCTTTACAAGTGGCTGAGTATCCTGCTTGGGCTTGCCAAAATCCGTGTCTGGTTTAAATTTGCCCATAGTGTTTTGAGTGAATGTCAGAGCATCAATAATGGCTCTTTATTTGTCTCTGTATTAGTAGTAGTCTGGTGTTTGGTGGTTTTGGTAGCATAAGATGCTCTCAGCTGCTAAACAGGTAGGTATGTCCTTTATATGTGCTGAAAAGAGATTCTTTTTTCTAGGCATAAATTTTGATGGTTGTTTTCTGGTTGGTTTTGTTTGATGGTTGTTTTTTTCTGTTGTAACCTCCTGATCCCAGTGTTGTGTGAGACATATGGCTGTTTGTGAACTTAAGAAATCTGTCGCTGGGAGGTGGAGGGGGGGGAGTAAGGGAGATGTAAAAACAGTATGGGTGACACTTGGTTTATAAGGCAACTGATGATGTTTTAATTCATCTTGTCAGAGCACCTGCTGTCTTGTCTACAGAGTAGTTACATAACTGAGTTGGAATTGGGATGTGAGTCATTTTCCAGCAATTAATAGGGATGAATCCATGACCTGAGATCCACTTGCTGTTCTTAATATCCACTTAGAAATATCATCATCTGCAGCTCTTAATATAGTGTGATCCCCCCGTTATTTGAATAACCAGAAAATGCTGAGCTGGTGTTCTTGAAAATACATGGTTTTGGTCCTGATAGCTCTAAGTTTAACCTTCCATTTTTATTCCCCTGAAATGCTACCATTTTTTGCTGCTGTGTTCCAGTGGTTTTCTGCAGGTCAGTTCTGAGGACTGGGGGAGCTGAGGCTCTGTGATCCAGCCTCTCACTGAGAGTGAAGGGAACCTAAGGCACTCATTGGAGAAACAAGAGCAGTGAGAATTTTATCAAGGCATTGGTGATGTCTGTGTGCTGTTTAATCAGGTCTTGTTACTGGAAAGAGTGTGTGGTGATACACAAGTAATGTACGGTGAGGGTGAGGCAAAACTCCGGGTGGGCTGCAGAAGGTGTTGGGAGAAGTTGGTCAGAAACAAATGGGTGAAATTGCTAGCTTAATTCTGCCATTGGTGCTGAATGAAGTGTAAAAAAAGTATATAAATACCATACTTAGCAGAAAGGAAATTTGATTTTTTGACACCAGCATTTGAAGACCATGTTACTGATACAGGCAAATACATCGCATGCATTTAATTATCAGCTGAGAAATCTGGTAGAAATACGTTTACCTTTCAGAGGCCTTGCCTTATCTCATCTTCTCTTTTTCCTATGTGGAATTGCTATTTTAGCTCATCTTGATGAAAAATTTGTTTGCCTGACTGTAAATGAATGTTGTTTGAAGTGCTCATGTGAGTTGTTCTTCATCTCCTCCATCCTACATGGTCACTCCTTCCTGCTTAGCAACACTGAGACAAGAGGTCTCAGCCCCAGGGCTGGGGAATGCTGCTCTATGGCAGAACCTCTCCAGGCCTGCTGTTCACTTCTTAGCTTGCATAGGGGGATACCTCTTGCAGTGCCGTGCTTAATGACTACTGGAAATGAGGGCAGGGAAATGGTCTTTTTGGCTACAGTGTGCCTTTGTGAAATGTATGTGTAAACCGCTTCTTGCTTTTCATGTGTCTTTGGCATTAGAAATTCAGATCTTGTCTATCCCAGAAGCCTTTGTATCTGACTATTAGGCCTGTGACATCAGAGATAATAAGGAAGAGAAATGTAATTAACTGAGAGGGGAAATGATTTGCATTCGTGTTATTTAAAATGCCTTTTTTTGTTTGTGTCAAGGACCCATTTAATTCACATCTCCAGGAGAAAAGCTCTTGGGTGGGAAGGGAGTTGCTTAAGCGTTCAGAAGATTTGCATCCCATATTCATGAATCACCCAAGGAATCTTCTGACAGTAGAAGGGAAAATGAGAATTGACAGTGCTGATTTGGAGCCAGGGGAAGAAGGGAAAGCAGATAAACCCTTACTGGGCAGTGTTCATATGTAATGAAGAAGCTGTGGAGACACCCGAACATTCTGCTTTCCCTTTGTCATCACCTTATTATTGACAATATCTCTTCAACTGGTACATTCCTTTCAGTTTTTAGAAGTGTGCTATTTTTGTCTTTTCTGTTTTTTTAGAGGAAAAGGGGAGCCAGTGACTGAGCTGAGTTGGTCCTCCTGCCGGCAGCTTCTCTACCAGTCAATGGCCACCATCCTGGCTCACACAGGCTTTGAGTGTGCCAATGAGAGTGTCCTGGAGACCCTGACAGACATTGCCCACGAGTACTGCTTGAAGTTCACCAAACTGCTGCGCTTTGCTGTGGATCGAGAAGCTCGACTTGGGCACACCCCCTTCCCTGATGTCATGGAGCAGGTCTTCCATGAAGTGGGCATTGGCAGTGTGCTCTCGCTGCAGAAGTTCTGGCAACACCGCATTAAGGATTATCACAGCTACATGCTTCAGGTGAGGAGAGCAGTAGACATCTAATGACACCAACAAATGTACCTCCAGTACAACTGCTTACTGTTATAGCAAGTCCTGGGTCTTCCTGAAGTAAAATCCAATTAGAAAACCTGTTGAGTGTGGAGGGGAGTCATCAAGGAAAAGATAAATAGGTTTTTTTTTGACTGGAAGACAGAGCCTCTTATTTCTGTCCCTGCTGAGGCTAAGAATGCTCTATTGATGGTTTGTCTGGGTTTAAGAGGAGGCCCCCAGCTCTTGAGTGGCCCAGACAAAAATAGCAAGTAAAGGTAAAATCAGTACTGATTTAACTGAATTTTCTGCTTTAATGGGATATTTGGCTGCTTGCCATTTCAAAAAACAAGGAAGCAGATGAACAAAAATTACTTGGCTGTATAGTGGCTTGTGTTCACTTAAGCAGAGGGTGACTTGCTTAAGGTTTAAGAGTATAAGGTCATATTGTGCTGAACTGAGTTGTCACACAGATGCTACCTTCCACTCTAGAGGGGACTGTGCTTCTGTTGAGAAAGAAGAGGAATTGTTACATTCCTTGGAATAAGAGGTGCTGTGTCAACATAGGGTATAAGAATAAGGGTATGGTTTCTCTCGGTTCAGGTATTCTGTGAAATTAAACATATGCATTTTATTGTAACGATACAAGAATGTCTGCCTGTTGTAGGCTTACAAAAAGGCAAGGATTTGAAGTGGCAATTTTACTTCTCATCAAAAAATAAGACTTAAATCAAGTAGATAGTCCGTGACCAACAGCAAAACCTGCTATCCCTTCTTCCTTGTCACATTATCTGAGTGCCCGTTGACTTGTCTTGGAGCAGCTACCTTGTGCTGCTTCTTTTCCCAGGGTTGGCACCTTGTGGCTTGCAGAGGCAGCATAAATCAGAAACACCTGTAAGCACATGTAGTATGTAAATTGTGATGGACTGAGGTTTATGTATTAAAATAACTTCATCAAGATCTGTCTTCATCAAAAATATTTTTGTTCAAAAAAGCAGTTCATTTTGTTCAAATGTTTTTGTTCAGATATATGCTTTTGGAATTTGGGAATTTTGGAATTTTGGAATTTTCTGCATCATTCTGCTGATGCAGTTCACTCTCATCCTGCAAGTGGTCATTGTCTTATTTGTTGTGTTCTCTGTGCAGAGCTGAAGTCCGCAGTAGTCTCCGTATTTGGAGATATATCTAGAAGGGGGAAAAAGGATTTGTTGTTATTTTTCCTTCTTGCTTCTGCTGTTAAAAAGCCTTGGACTTTCCCTGAGCACAATTCACTGGCTGTTGGGACTCTGGTATAAACAAGTATTCATTAGAAGCAGATGAAATCTGAAATTTTTAATTTAGTTGCTTACAGTTGTTAAGCAATTGTTGCTAAGTTTCTAGAAGTACAGGGTAGTTTTAAGTTTTATTCCTGTATGTGTTTCACTTCACTGACTGGAGAAAACTTGTGGGTTTTTTGCTGTGAATATGACAGAAGGTACCCAGGCTTTGCCCAGTGGTGATTACAGAGATGATGAATATCTTAACTGCTTGTTTTTCAGTGCTGGAGTAAATTTGTTACTTGCGGATGAGGCATAGTCTTACAGGTAAAATTAGAAAGTAAGGCTGAGACACTTTGCTTTTTTTTCGCGCTCTGTTTAAGTCTCTGGGCCTCATCACTGTCTGTGAAATAAGGGTGCTCATATTTATCAAGCAGATGTGTTAATGGATTAAACCTATTATTAAAAGTCCCTTGTTACAGGACAGAAAGTGTTCTTAGAGCGGAAAAAAAAAATCCCTCCTGTGTAGCTGATAACCTGTTTACTTGTTCATGGAGGTCAGATGTTAATAATATTCTGGAAACAGAGCACTCTGTGATGTAATTGCCATCAGAGCCTCTGAAGTCACTCTGACCTTTCTGGCCTCTTTTTTCACCCCCACTGATCTTTGACAGGTTAGCAAACAGCTCTCTGAAGAGTATGAGAAGATTGTCAACCCTGAAAAGGCAGCAGAAGACACAAAGCCTGTGAAGATTAAGGAGGAACCTGTTAGTGATATTACTTTCCCCATAAGTGAGGAGCTGGAAGGAGATCTGGCATCTGGTGACCAGTCTTTGCCTGTTGGAGTCCTTGGAGCTCAAAGCGAGCGCTTCTCTGCCAACTTGGAAGTAGAAGCTTCCCCACAGACTTCAGGTAGGGGTTTCTTGCTACTGCCGGAAACAGTCTGTCAGCTGTTCCATGTGATCTTGTTTCCATTTTTAATAGCAGATCCCAGTGTGAGGAAGCAGAGGGAGAAAAAATTTTTAGGTTTTAATAAAAAGATTTGGATGGGAGAGAAAACTTTGCTTGCTTTCTAAATATAAAACCAAAGAATCAAAAGTATAATTTACAAGGATTGGTTAGATATTTACTCCATTCAAGGACCCTGTAGAACACAAAATGCTTTAGATGGTGTTTATTTTTAGGGAATCACTGAAGTTCTTGTCTTTGTTATTGGCGTGAGGTAGACTGATTTTCTACAGTGATGGCCCAAGGGCTTTATTGTTGTTTTGTGAACTAGGGTATTTGCTGCAGATGTGAGGACTGAGTGTTTTTTTTTTTCTTTTTCCAGTCTGACATAACAAGGACAAAAATAACTTTTGGCTTTATATATATATATATATACTTGTATATATTTTAGTTTAAAGGAGACTAGAGTTTTATCCTTATTTCTAGAGTACTGGATTTTTTTTTTTTTTCCCTTCTTTTTTTCCTTGGTAGTTTTGGATTCTTGTCCAGAGATTCATGCTACTGAAAAGTTGAAGGCCGTGTTCCTTGTGAATGGAGTAAATTCAATATCCTTTATAGTTTAGCCACTGAATGAGTTAGGGAAATACTAATGATATTTGGTGCAGTCCTCCATATTCAGAAGTCACCCTGGTGGTGACAGTCATTGTTTTATTAAAGCTTATCAGTAAGTTGTGTGAAATGGGCTCGTGGGAGTCTCTCCTGTTCTAGGATTTCTACCCCAAAGCCTCCTGTAGTTAGCTGAGACCATGGAAAATGAAAAAGTGAGTAAAGTAGTGGGGTTATGGAGACTGCACTCTTTTCCCCAAAGTGTTGTCCCTTGATGTTGGTGTTGGAGCACACTGGTGGCCAGCATGGAAGAAACTGCTACTGCTGTGCCTTTTCTATATCTATACAAGTTTTATTCTATGCACTGTTTAGTAGTGCTAAGTTTTCTGGAAAATGAAAAAGACATTCTTCTCCCAAAGAAATCCAGTTTTGATTTTTGTATATAACCTTCTGAACTCTGGAAATCTCTGCAATAGTAACTGTTTCACTTAAAAATCTGGTTAAAAACCAATTAAGCCTGTGCTCCTACTAACCCTAAACTAAGTAGCATATATATTGAGGTTAGAGTATACCTCTGAGTCTATTAATTGTTTTTTGTTTTTTTTTAAATAGCACATTCTACCAAGTTTTAAAAAAAGCACAGGTCCATCTGATGTTTTCCTGGAAGCTTCTGTTGTTTTCCATAGTACCTCTGAAATGTGAAGTGCTCACATTTTGTGGGAGAGGGAACAGCAGACTCCTCTGGCCCATCTGGGGTTGTGAGTGATTCATCCGGAAAGCTTTGTATTAGCATCTACCACTTGAGACCCAGAGGTTAGCATGCTAGCTGTATATTAAATGCCTCTTGCCTCTCTGATACCGAATTGATGTTTTCTAATTAAGAATACAAGTGCTCTGTTCCTCCCTGAAAATCCCTCTTCACTTCAGAAGGGCCTTTGGAAATCTCATCACTGTGAGAAGTCCCAGTCTAGAGCTGGGCAGGCTGGAGAGCATAATATCATAAGGAGCAAGAAAAAGCGACTGCAATTAGGACACTACCATCTTGAAAATACAAGTGTGAGGCATGTAGGAGAGGGCAGCAAGGCTTCAGTGTCTGAGGGCAAAACTCCCATTACAGCCTTCTGTGTTTTGCTTGTGTTTCTGCTTACGCCCGATGTTGCGGCTGTGGGCTAGCTGCTTAATGTCGCTGCATTTGGGGAAGTGGAGGCAAATTTGGGGACCTTGTTCCTCTACCCAGCAGGATAGCATGAGGATTATCTCATTTGTAAAGAACTTTGAAGTTAAAGTGCTTTGAAGATGAAATGTCCTGTGTCGATGCTTAAGGAGTTAGTCATTAGTGACACTGTCAGTGACAGGTGATAGAGCTGAAAGGAATAAGGCTGAGCAATGAAGAGCAATTGATGAAAGATGTAGTAAGTTTGGTGAGCATCTTTGCTTATTGTGTAGACTGAAGCTGCAACTCTGTGGAACTGATAGTGTTTTAATGATGTGCTCATTGTTGTTGAGAAGAACACATTTGCTTATAATTAACATAAAAAGGACAATTCATTAAGGCAACTGGACACCAGCAAGCACTTTCATTCTGGCTTGCTGTCTAACTGCTGAGCTAATACAGGCTGTGTTACTGCAGAAGTCTCCTAAACCCTGGTTTGGGCTAAGCTTCTCTGGAGAAAATTCCCATCTCCTTTGTAAGGGAGAATTCTCAGTACAAACATGTGGTGGGAGATGTGTTCTCTGTGTAATTGCTAGTAAAAAGGGACTATTGTTTGTAGTATATTGATAATAGGGAATAGTAGTAGGTTTGGCTCAGTACAAGAGGTTTGATTGTTCTTTCAAATTGTAACCAAGCTTCTTGAGACACAAGGTTTAGAGAACTTAGTAAAATTGGTTTCCTAGTTTTTTTTGTTTTCCATGTGAATTTAACTCCACACAAGAGGGACCACGTTTAAAAGTGAGAAGATTTCAGGCTTTGGTTAGGTCTGGGCGGTTTATGCCCATCTCAGCGAGTGGCCCAGTTTGTGTATTTTTAATAGGATTTTTGTCTCTCTTAAAACTGTAAATAAGGAGAAATAATGCAGTTTGAAATTACTGTTCTTGAGGAGGAAAACATTTGCTGTTATCAAGAAATATGGTTTCATAATCTTGTACAGAACATCCTCAATCTGCTCAGATCGCATACTAGTCCAAAAGGATTAAAAAAAAAAAAAAAAAAGAAAAAAAGAGGGAGGAAGGGTAAGGAGGAGGTATATCTCAGGAGGGTGTCTGTGAGGTTGAGCCAAGAGAATTTCTTTCCATTCTGCTGAAGGATGGGATGAGACCTGTGGGTGTTGATGACAAGGAGGCAGGCAGTTGGGTGGCTGACTGCAGCTCTGATGTCCCTGAGTTTCAGTGCTGGAAGTGGTATTTGAGACTGTTCATCTGCCCACTCCTCTGCCCTCTCACTTCACCTCCCTTGCAGAAGTCCAGTCTATGACAGCTTAAAGGAGGTTGCTGACATTGCAAGGATCTCATCATCATGAATGACTTCTGGACTGCTAATGCAGGGTCTAGTCCATGTGCTGGACTTATTAGTGTACTCATTGCTGCTGAGACACTCCTTCTGGAGCGTGGTGTGGGCTCTTTAAATTGTTGTTTCTCATGGAGAAAGCCACTGTGGAAGGATAGCGTTGTATTTTTAGAGTGGCAATTACTGGGCTGTTAAAAGAAATAAAGCTAACAGATTTTTTTATTTATTACTTCACAGTACTTGGTGTGTTTTGTTTGTTTTTCCCACAGCCTAGTTCACCTGTAGCTTTGCTTTTGCTCCTTCTTTACCAGTGCTGCTGTCCCCTGCATCTGTAGGCCATTTGTGATTTGTCTTTTTTCTTTCTCTAGGGGCTGAGGTGAATGCTTCCCCACTCTGGAACTTGGCACAGGTAAAAATGGAGCCACAGGAAAATGAGGAGGCTAATGTACATGGCCACGGGGTCTTAGGCAGTGATGTCTTTGAGGAACCGATGTCAGGCATGAGTGAAGCTGGGATGCCACAGAGCCCCAATGGTTCTGAGAGCAGCTATGGTTCTCATTCTGCTGACAGTCTGATGGGATCCTCGCCTGTCTTCAACCAGCGTTGCAAGAAAAAGATGAAGAAGATGTGAAAAGAGACAGTCTTTTTATTTAATCCTGATGGTATGTAATAGACTTGAAATGAACTAAGAGAGCACTATGATGGCTATGATTCATAAACAGGGCTGGCCCTGGTGTACGAGGGACTTTGAATAAAATTATTATGAGACATTTGATGTGTAGTGCACTTCAGCTCCCTTCTTTGCTGGCTTTTGTACTCCATCCTGACTCAGGGTATTGAAGATCACTCTATACATTTGATGGTGTCATGGCTTGCTTTGGCAGGTTAATGAGAAAGTTGCTGGTGGAAATTAGTTGTGAGGAGATTTGCTAAGCCATGGAATCATTGAATAACTTAGGTTGGAGGGATGTCTTGAGGTTTCTAATCTCTAGTTCAGCCCCCTGCTTGAAGCACAGCCAATTAGATCAGGTTGCTCAGGGCCTTTTCCAGTTGAGTTTTGAATATCTCCAAGGATGGTGGTGCCAAACCTCTTTGGGTGTTTTTCCCATATTTGACTACCCTCATAGTAAGAAAAAATATATTCTTGCATCCAGTTGGAATTTCCCATGTTCTAACTTGTGTGCATTGCCTCTGTTCTGTCATTGCTCATCTCTGAGAAGAGTCTGACTCTGTCTTCTCTAACCTGCCCGTTAAGTGGTTGTATACAATGAAATCTCTCTTTAGCCTTTTCTCTTAAGTCTGAAGAAACCAAGCTCCCTCAGCCTCTCCTTGTCCTGTGTTCCAGCCTCCTAACCAGCTTCGTGGCCTTCCACTGAAATTGCTGCAGTGCCCTTCTTGTAAGGGGGAGCACAAAGTGGATGCAATCCTCCAGATACAGCCTCACAGGTGCTGAATAGAGAAATAATTTCCCTCAATGTGATGGCTACATTCTTGCTAACTGTTGTGGGCAACAAGACAGTCTGAAGTCAGGGTATTTCACTGGTTGGGGAGCTGTTGCTGCTGCTGCTGACCTTGCAAAGATGCTGTGAAGTGGCCTCACAATGCCATCAGCCATCTCCTTTAGTGCCTTCAGATGTATCCTGTCTGGTTCTGTGGACTTAGGTATGTCCAATTGGCTTAAGTTCTTGCTAACTCGATCTTCCTTGGCTGTAGGCAATACTCTGCTAGTAGACCAAGGAACCTGGCAGGCCTGAAGGCAGACCTAACCAGTGAAAATGGGCGAAAAAGGGGTTGAGTACATCAGCCTCAAAATGTGTCTTTTGTCACCAGATTACCTGCTGAACAGTAAACCCATGCTTTCTTTAACCTTTCTTTTGCTTTGAGTGTACTTAAAAAAGCCCTTCACATTTCACCAATTTCAAGTCCAATTGAGCCTTGGCTTTCCTAACTGTCCCTGCATGCTTGGGCTGTGTCTGTATAACCCTCCTGCCCAGCCCATCCTCACTCCCACTCCCATGTACTTTTTTCTGTGTGTTTGAGCTCAGTCAGGAGTTTCTTGTTTGTACTGGCCTTCTGTCATGCCTGCTTTACCTTCTGCTCGTCAGAAACAACTGTTCTACTTTGAGCTGTCTTTGAAGATAATGCAGCACTTTTGGGCCCCTTTGGGAGGCTAGGGCAGTCCCCCGTGAGATCCCGCCAAGGCGTTCCTTAAATAAACCAAAGGTCCAGGACTCTGTTTGCCTTGTACACATTTCTCAGGATTTTACATGCCACAATTCCATGTCTGCTGCAGCCAAGACCTTCACGTTCTGCACCAATTCTTCCTTGTTAGTAACAAAGCCAGTAGAGCTTCTTCTCTAGTTGATTGTCTAGTCAGGGAAGTTGATGTGGTTTTCTGGAGAGAATGAAGTGGCTTTTACTGCTGGTGTGAGCCAGTACTGCCAATGCAAACTTTTTCTTTGCTCTTATTGGATTGAGTGCAGCAACTTCAGGCTGGCTGAGGTTTCCTATTAAAGTTGTTATCTTGACAACTTAGTCTGAAAGAGAATCTATTTTGCTGCTTGCTTTTATGGCTCAGCTGACTGATGGCATTTTTTTTTTTTGTTCTGCACAATCCTCGGTTGATCAACTCAGTCTTTAACTTGATTCAGTGAGTATCTCTCTCAAAAAAGCTAGAATGAACATGAATCAAGAATGAACAGCCACTTAAACTGGCTTTATACCTGTAACCCATTGGGATGTTTGAGGGAGATTTACCAAACCTCCCATTTGTCCTTACAATTGCAAGTTTATCTTTTGAAAGAATGAGCTCCAGGCATAGTATTTTCAGTTTTGTATAACATGCCTAGCCTTAATTCTTTTTTCCTAACTGTATTTCTCTTCCACTTTATAGAAGTGGAAGCCAAACATAAAATTCCTCAATGTCTAGTAAGAATGTGTGACCACAGGCTTTTATGGACATTGGAGTTAAAATTGTCCATCACAGTTCTAAAGGTTTCTCCTGGGGGGTAAATTCTAGCTATTTGAAGCCTAGTCAGTAGTAGAACAGTGGACCAGTGTATCAGGAAATCTTTATTTTTATTCCCTTTGAGTCACCATTAGGCATGCTACGATGTTCCTGTTTTCTCAGCTGTAAAAAAAGAGAATAGTAGTATTTGCCTCTTAAAAGTATGTTAGAGATTTAGTTACTATTCAGAAAAGGCACCATGATTCTTCAGAGTGTTTTGTGAGATTTGGGAGCTTTTCTTCCATTTGGGTAGGACTGTTGCTGGCTGGAGAATGCTTAGATGGACACATAATGTTACTGATCTATGTGTTACTGGTTTTAAGCAAAAACTACTTATGAAGAAATACAGCAGTTGTGCTGTTCAACTGCCCAGGTACAAGGAAGGTGTTTGGGGCGATATCTTCTCACTCAGCTTTAGATGTCTGCAGCTAAATTTGTTCCTCTGGGCCCTGTTTGCAGCTGAAGAGGAATGAAATAGTCATTCTTAAGTCACTGTTCACCTGGCCTTGAAGTAGGAGCAGGTCAGATGAACAGCATTTTTAGAAATGTCTATTTTTCCTTTGTGTGCCCATAAAGTGAGTTTAACTTGACTACCTCAGCTGAAGACATCCACACCATCAGTGTCTGAGTTAAGTGACCTGACTTTAGCCCTTCCTGTCTGGGAATCAGAGGAGACTTCCTCCTGCTAGGCCGGTGCTTTTTCTTTTCTACGCATTTTGTTGAGCTTGCCACTGAAATGGTAGTACTGGACTAAAAGCAGACTGCCCATCTTACCTAAACCAGAAGATCTTACTTAAACCAGCAGATCCAGTGTTCTCCACAACACAGAATGTGCTAGGCCAGGGCCTCAAGACTGAGCTTGATTTGGCCTTTGTGTCTTTGGGTGTGAGAACACCTGTCACTGGGCCTTTCTCCGCAGATGCCTTGCAAACCTGTTGTAGTAAAGTATTCTTGAGGACAGGGCACTTGAGTAAAGTCCCTTGTATGCTATTCTCAGGAGCTGGAGGACAGAGTGGCTGCTGCCAGCATCACTTCCTCATTTGCAAGATTTCAAGTGGGCTAAAAATGAAAATCTGCTGTGTTCCAGGACGTTTAAGACTCCAAAGCATCAATCTTAAGTGATTTCTTTGTATTGCTGTTGTACAGATGTTATATTTTACTTGTAATGGTGTTTTTGTATTTCACATCCCTTTTCCACACCCATTTCACCCTGTAACACACACTTAGCCAGAAGTCAGACCTGAGTGCTTCAAGTATATTTAAATACAGTGGAAATTCACCCTCCATTGATTTCAGCTGTGTCGTTGCAGTGTAGGAGAGAAGTGTTATTGATTCTTTTTAGGATGCATGTTTATGCAGAGATGGGAAATGCATCAGAATTGCTTGTACATTTAAAAATGATGGCAGAGTAAAATCTGTACCTCCTGTTCCCCCTGTTACGCCAGGTGTTGCTTCTGACATTTGTGTGCTTGACGGTTCCTTTTATACATGTGGAAGCTTTACCTCCTGGGTGAGCCCTTCCCCTCTTAACGTTTACTGTCCTTAGAATTACAGTGGTGTTCATCATGCATGAAATAGTGACATTTCAAGTCTAGCTCACGAAGTCAGGTACAGACAATATGCTTTTCTGAGGAATCAAATAAGATTTTGCTATGTGTTAATGCAGCCTTGGGCAACTAGTGAGGAGTTCATTGACCATGTAATCCCCAAATTTCAAGCCACAGATTACGCAGTAGGTTGGAATAAAGCTCATCTCTCGCAGTTGTAAATTTTTGCTGATCGCTAGTAAAGTGTTCTGCTGACCCACCTGCTTCAGTAGTCTGCAATTTTGTTGGTACTTTCATCTTTCTCTGTTCTCTTCCCAAAGCTGGGTAGATGGCAAATTAGAATATTGGGTATTGACCATGTCCATATCCAGTAGCATTGATGTCTTTAGTGATTTATTTTGCCATGATTGAAATTGGTGGAAACTTTGATATCAATTTGGAGAGCAAGATCTGTGAATTACTTGGCTTTTGAAGTGTTTTGCATGAGAATCATACAGGATTGTAGTTGAGAGCGTGCTGTGTATCATACTCCTTTTTCCCTCTAGCAATACCTTTTTATTCCTTTTGAAGAGTTTTGCCTGCTATCCAACAAAGTTCACTCTATAAATGGCAGTGTAGCAGCTTTAGTATACAGTTGTATGTCAGACTGTGCTACCTAGTGATTTAATTCCAAGACCATCCATACTAATTTGAATATGCATAATGCTGTGCAGAAAAAGATATGTTTCCTGCATAGAAATTTACAATTTAAAAAGAAAATGGGAAAATAAGATTAGGTAGGGTAGGTGAAGCCAATCTGATTATGTGCTCAATTCTGAGACTAATGTACATGTTATGCGTGAGGGATGTTTTACTTAAAATGTTTTTGTACATGTGTGTGAATGAAATATGTAACTTTGCTTGTGTTTACATGGAACAAAATTGTTTGGAAATATTTCAGGATTGTTTTTTTTGCCTTTCTCTCCTGGAGAGAGTTTCTGTGTAAATTCTAACAAAATAAAATTAAAAAATTATTCAGAAATAAAAATCCTAAAGGTATTGTGTGGATTTTTGTGTTTATTTTGAAGAACGGTGTGAATGCAAAACTCAGTCTTGGGTTTGTGTTTACCCTTACATGGGATCTGGAGTAGACCTTTTACGGGACTCAGTGAGGTACTGAGATGATACCAGTGTTAATGTCACAACTAGGGAGACAAGAGATGTTATTCCAGAATGTGGCCAGAGAAAATGGAAGTCTGATCTTTCACAGATGCCAGTGCTAGTGAGCCCCAGAAGTGATAATGGTACCAGAGTGCTGGTATTGCTATTCATCTAGCATACACAGGTTGCTATTTCTGAAGCGACTACTTAATATATACTTCTACTTATATTACCAGACTACCTGGGAGCCCTGCTCGAAGCCTTGTGCTTTGCTCTTTTATGTGCTGGTCTACTTGTTCTACATACTACTTTTTTTTCTCAGGGACTGTGTTAGACTGCAGTGAATGAAGCACAGTGTACTTCCCCCTCTGCTCTGCCCATCATGGTAGAGCTGAGGGAGGATGGTTGATACTTGATAGCCCTGCTAAGCAATTGCAAATAGCACACCATGAATTAGGGTATAGGCCTGTGTTGCAGCTCGGGGGAGAGGGAATAATAATCATAATGCTTCCCGTCATGCCTATACGTGAGAACAGTCTGTCCCCATGACTGCTGTCCTCTGAAGCGTGTACTACTGAATTAATCCCCCAGTCTGGGGGTGTGCTTTCCAGTTCCCCAGCAGGGCCTGGCAGAAGAGGACAGCAACCACCTGTTCGGGTTGCCCCCCACCAGATGAAACCACTGAGCCCACCTGCATCCCAGTTTTATCTTCCACCTCCTCCAGCAACGCGAAGGGCCTGTGCGGCGGCAGCCTTGAACGCACAGGCTGCCGGGAGGCTCCATGACTGAGACCGTTTTGGGGGTGGGGGGGGGGGACACCCCGATTCCCTCGCTGGCCCGTGGGCTCGCCTCTGACCCCGACTGTTGCCCCCTGCCCTGCTGCGGATGCGGCTGGGGCCAGTGGTCCGCCGGGTGGCCGTGGCCGCGTGGTGGTGCTGGCCCCACGCCGCTGACGGGGGGGCTGCCCGCTGCGGGGTGGGGGGGGATGCTACAACCCCGGGGAGCACTGCTCGCAGCTGCGACCACAACCTGTCCCCTGTCCAAAAAACTCCATGTCATTTTCGCTGCATCTTTTATTTTGGAGATTAAAATCGCCTCTTTGTTGCTATGGAAACGCTTTCATGAAAGAAGACGACCTCATTAGGAGTTACGATGAAATCTTTGGGGTGGGCTCGGTGCCCAGCACCGTTGCAGGGGGGAGAGTGGGGCTGCGGGATCTGTGGCAGGGGGGTGGTGGGGCAGTCACCCCTTTGCACTGATGCTCGGCGGTTTGCAGAGCTCGTAGGTTTTTCTTTTGGGGCTCAGCAGGCCAGAAACAGCCCCTGCTCTTGGACGAGCCCTTCCCCTTGCGAATTGTCTTGGGAGTCATGGCTGCGTCACTTCTGTGCTCTTGCTTCAGAGTGTGTATGGGGTGTCATTGCAACAGGCAGCAGGGCCCTGGCAGCGAGCTGGATGAAAGACTTGGGCGTTGTGAGGGGTTTTATGGTGTCTGTCAGGGCCCTGGCATTCACTCTGGGTGCTTTTTCCTCAAATCTGAGCCTCTGAACCCAAGCTTTCCTTGTGGCTGTGCCTTCCCTCTCAGCTTTGTGCCCCAACCAAGCACCCCGCTGCCTCCGCTCGCCCTGTGCCACTCCTGGTTCTTCACGCAGGTTTCCCCCCACTCCCCCCGCCCTTCCTTCCTTCACCTGCATTGCTCATTCTCTTCTTGAGCTCCTGCCAGTGTTTCTGTGCCCTCGCTGCCCAGCTTCTCGTGTCACGCTGTTGCTGCCTGTCTTGAATTGCAAAGCAGACTTAGGAAGCAACTTTTTTCTTCCAAGTGAAAAAAAAATCTGATAAGATTATTTATCTGAGTTTTGGACAAAGTTTTCTTTTTCTTTGGTGGAGGAAAGGAAGTTGGAACTTGGATATGCTTTGAAGGAAGGCCAAACTTGGTTGTCATGAGATTTTGGGGAGGTGACCCTCTGTCCCTTTACTAAGAGCATTATACAATCCTCTGGTCTAACCTGTACACTTGCTTATGGACTCCCATCTGACTGGGAGGCAAGGCAGAGGTGGGATGCTGCATTGTGGGAAAACTATGGATTTCCAGGTCATCAGCTAAGAAAATCTGTGCTGTTATTAATGCAGAGTGAGTGCTAATGACTTTATGTTCTTCTGAGAAGCTGTGGAGGTTGGTGATAAATAAACCTCTTGTCTCTGGTGTAAATGCTGATGGCTCTTCTCAGCTGCTCTATCTTGTTGCTGCTGGACAAACTAGTGGCCCAGCATGGAAGGTGTGCTGGATTTCAGCTCTGACATAAAGCTCCTCCATCCCCGATGGGTTTGGGCTGAAGGAGGGGGAGGCAGGAGGGGATCAGGCAGGGTTGCTGCAGCAGCCTGGGCCGGGCATGGAGCATGCCCTGGGGGCTGTGCTGCTCTGCTTCACCAGAGCTGGGCTTCCTTAAAAAGTAACCCTGTGAAAGATTTTGTGAATTACAGAAGCTTACCCTTTCTGGGTGTCAATTTCAGAGTATTTTGAGAAAGGCTGGAAAAATGATAGTGCTTGCCAAAATAAACACGAAAAGCAGGCCCTTTTTTTTTTTCCTTTTCATTACACTTTCCAAGTGTGGAGCAGCCACAGTGTTGGTTTTGGTGTTGCTGATTTTGCTGAAGGAAGTTTAGCGTGCTTGGTAAATGTGACGTGTCTGTTGCTGCTGCAGCTCCTTTGAAGACAATGATGCTAAATGTTTAGCAAAACCATTCTTCATCTGCAGTGCCCAGTAATGAATGGACTTAAATAAGTGTAACCAGACCAGTTTGGCACTCTCCATCTTCCTCCACTGTCATTCTCTTGACTCTTGCAATACCATAATTTTGCTATTATTCAAGTTGATATAAACTCTTTTACTGTACAGCTGTCCTGGATTTCTCTAGTAAAGAAAAGAAGCAAGGAAGCAAATTGCTGGTAACTCTTAATTCCTAAAGAAAATTACATGAAACAATTCTAATCTAAAAAGCTTTAGCATCTAAAACCCTCCTAAGACTTCCTCATACCCTCTAAAGAAACAAAGGCACACCTCCACTTCCCAGCTTCTTTGATGGTCACATTGAAAGCAAAGTAGTTGCATTTATACTGTGGTATCTGAATTAAATTTGTCTGATAAGGCTGAGATGACACAGCCCTATTAACTACAGATGCCCTACAATACAGTGTATTTTTAAACAGGCAGGTAGGTTAAAATATAATTGTCTACTGAATGGATTTTTCTATGGGAAAGAGTGAGCAAACCAGTTATATCTCCGTATACCCAAATCTTCCACAATGACTTCAAAGAAATCAAAGAAATTAAATTAGTAAGAAGACACTGTCCTTCATGTTCTCAGATCCTCTAGCCCAAAGCTCAGAGAGCTTTCTGCACTCACTTCCAGTCTTTAAAAAAATGAGCTTTGCACAACAGATCAAGGGGGAGCTCTACAGCTCTCAGCAGTGATGTCTGTTCCTCTTCTCTCTGTGTCTTGCAATTCTGTTTGCATACTCAGTTTTGATAGGCTGTGTGCTTCTCGGGTTGGGTGCAAAACGTACTTCTATAATGAATGAATGTACCTCTCCTTATATAGCATCTATCAAAATACCCTATAAGATGCCTATCCAGTAGGGCATTAATTAGACAGAATCACTCCTTGAAAAGGTACTAACTAATGGCCCGGTCCTACTGAGTACTTCTGAAGCAAGTGGGAATTAAAGATGCCTGGTCTTGAAATTGCAGGCTAGAAAGGAGATTGCTTGCTGACCTGGCACAGACCCTTATGCATAGACTGTTTATTTCATAAATTCTTCATGAATCTGGCATCTTTCAGAGTTTTAAGCAATTTCAGAACACACAGACACGGACTCTGGTGCTGTTCGTGGGAGTTTCTAGGGACCTTTAATGAGGCACAGAGGTGATTTTGCAGAGTCATGCTGCAAGTAGATGTGTACCCATGAGCACCAGTGTGGGACTGTGAAGGAAGTGAAGTTTCCTTTTGGAAAGACAGATGGAAGAGACAGTGACAGTCTTCTCAGAAAATCTGTGAGCAGCCTCACCCGGAGGGAAAGTGTGAGTTTGTGGGGTGTCTACTGGAAATTTTTACTGGGGTGAAGGATCTAAAAGTGAAAGAAAAAGCAGAGAACAGAGAAAGATGAGACAAATTCTTCTAGGAAGTGCAAAAGTTAAAAATTACAAGTCTTGACTCCTCCCTCTCTCCCTGCCCTGAATCCTGCTGCATTCATGAGATTTCAGTGATTCAAAGTGACCTAGGAAAGGCTGAAGAGACAGAGAGGGCAATCTGTGTAGAAATATTTGGGAAATACTGATGTGGTTAGTATTTGTAGATATGTTTATCTATGCAGAGATGTACAGAACAGTTATATATGTGGCTATGCAGTTACCATCATAGCATTTACATTTCCCAAAGGATTGTGAGTGCTTCCCATACTACTACTATCAGCATCTTGGCGTCGTCAGATGTATTACCAGAAGAGTTTTGGGTGCTTGAGATAACCATGTAACGCTCCTAGTCTTTCATCTAGCAATTCAGATAAGCACATCTGTAATTTTAAGTATATGAACAACAGGGTGTGGATGTGCTTTGAATTATGCATATACCTCAGTGCTTTGCTGGATAAGAACAGTACAGCAGAGTAATGAGCAAACTTAAAAAAAAAAAAGGCTCATCAGGCTAAATTAGGTCAGGATCTGCAGTTCATCTCTCTGGACACTTGATGCCTCTAGCTAACTGGCATGACTGGGTTGCTCCAGGAATGATTTTTTATTCCACTGATCTGACAGCACCCGTCGTTTTCTTATACACAAGTGTCCATATCACTAAATCATCTCTGCTGTCGTTAGTGCTAATTGGCTCCCTTGCTGTACCC